TAAAACTTATAGAATGTGCAGTGTTATGAAACAATTTTTCTTTTTCTATTGAACAATTCAAGAAGGATTTTTAAACCATATTATTTAGAAAGCAAATTCTCTATCCATTTTTTCTTTATTAACCCCAGTATACTGTGTTATACCATATAATCATGTGAACATAAAAAATTACCACATTTTAATGTTGGTAAATGCAAAGAAAATTGAACTCTGCCCTAAATAAAATGAAAGCCAAACAAATATTTTAACTGGCATTAATAATTTGGACCTAAATAATACTTTTGGTCTAACATTTTATCAAACTGTGCAAGTAGTGCTGTATTTTCAAAATCAGTAGACACCAAATGTAAAAATTGACACAAAGATTAATATATTCAACTATTAATGTATAAAAGGAGAGTGTGTGCTTAAATAATTTCAAGATAATTTGAGCATTCTAAAATCCTGTGACTACTCTTTAATTTAAAGAAAATACATATTCATCTCAGTAAACTATATCAAAGGGCAGAAATGAAAAGTTCAGCATAAGCCTGATATTACTATACATTAAAATCACTATATCACCCCTTACAAGAAATGTGACAGTCATTAATTTACAAATTAATTTAATAATTTTATAAATTCATTCTAATTGGGGAATTGTTTTGGAAAAGTATTTTTAATAAAAGTAAACAATATTTTAATGAAAGGTGACTGAGCTTAATAAGTACACTATGAAGTAATCAAATTTTTTTCTGGAATTCTTGAGTGTGGTTTGAAGCTGGATTTAAATAAAATCTTATTCAGGGGAAAATAAGATAAAAAAGAAAAAGAGATTTTGCTCTCAAATGCATTTTAAATAAATGCATTTAAATGCCAAGATAAGAGAACCATAAAAATACATGATAATACAGAATTAGTAGATGAAGAAGAAATGATGTCTGAATCTTAAGCAAACTACTGTTATAGGCTATGAAATTTGGAGTAGCAATCATTTTTTTTCTGGTGCCATTTTTATTTCTCTGTCCACCGGCCCTGGTATCATTCTCTAATAGCTAAAAGCAGAAATGTTGAGAAATACATGAGAATGTTATTTAGTTATTATGGTCAGCTTTAGCCAAAAAATATAAAAGTGGACAAAACAAAAGCAAAATTAAAAATTTTATAATGATATTTACTGGCCAATCCTGAAGATTTTCAGTATTTAGAATAGAAATTCAATGACTAAGCAATCTGTAGCTCCAATTTTTTTTTAGATTCTCTCTTTTTACTGAAATAATTCAATGAAGACAACTGATGAGAAATACACAATTATTTCTCAATTGATTCAAAGAAGAATTATGCCATTTAAGTACTATTTGATATTTTAAACATTACACTGTACTCCAAGTACTTCTCACCTTAAAAAATACCTGAATTATTTCAACAGCATTATATTTTAAAATATTTAAAACTAGTTTGTTTTTAAACATCATCAGCCTACCAGTCATGGTGGTGCATGCCCATAATCTCAGTGACTCAGGAGGCTGAGGCAAGAGGATCACAAGTTCAAGGCCAGCCTCAGCAACTTAGCAAGACTGTAAGCAACTTAGGGGAAACTTGTCTCAAAATTAAAATAAATAAATAAATAAAAGGTTTGAGGTTGTGGCTCAGTGGTTAAGTGCCTTTGGGTTCAATTGCCAATAAAAAAAAAAAAGAACAAAACAACTTTCAAATTATTGACCTATGACACTCAACTGCCTTGTAACAGATTTTGCTTAGTTCTATAGGTCCTATAATCATCTCTAAGAATAAAATTACATTTACCATCATACATATGACAATAATTTTTAAATGTTTTGTGAACTAGCGGCACTGAAAGTGTAGAGCATTAATTTTTATAGTTTACTTCATTTTTCTATCTGCTCTCTAATCTTACCTTACTAAACTAAAGAAAACAATTCCCAGGTTTTTTTTTTTTTTTTTTCCATGCAAAGTAAGTCACCAAGTTATTAAAACTGTCATTAGGATTATCTTAAACTCATTTAACTCATTTTAAAAAAATGAGTTCCATACTCAACTCTTATATATGATCTCTGAAAAAGAAAATGTAGGCAGACAGCTCTAGGCAAGTGCGGGAAGTAAAGAATAATTGAGGTCATGTCAACAAAGACTTAAAATAATATGTGGATCAGCTTGTGAGGAAACTCTAAGGTTCATCCCTCTGAGTCCTGCTGAAAAACATCATCCTATGATTCCATATTATTTTGGGGGAAAGCTCCTCTCACATTTTTATGAGTTCGTACAGAGTAACAAGAACTAAGAATTATGTGAAAGAAGCATTTATCTAATTAGATACAATCACAGTCACGTGCCAGGATTCTAGTGAAGATTAAAAAACAAACCCAGCTATATTTTATTTTTATTTTTTATTTTTTTAGTTCACTGGTACTTCCAGAGAAAACTAAAAATAGATTGATAGTATATGAAAATATCTTAATTTTCTTCATGGAATTTTAATTCTAGACGGGTAATGAGGAATATCTAGCTAACCTATGTATTATTTAAAGATAGGAGAATACAAAAATACTGCAAAAAGGTAAGTTCTTATTAATAATACTCTGCTTATTTACTTGTTAATGTTTCCAGCATCTAACATAGTAGATCATTTTAATCCTTTTGGTGGGGGCATGTGACCTTTAAACCTCTTCCTGTTCTCCAAGTCAAATTTAATTTTAAAATGGCTTAAAATTTTCTAATGAAGGTATGATGTATGCTACATATGCCTCGCATTTCCTAAATGTCATATCCATTCAAAATCACTTTTCCTTACTTTATCATACTAAATTGTAATTTGTAATATCTTTCTATTTCACTGTAAACATTAACTCTCTCTTTAGCTACTATTAAGCAGTTCTTTCCTATTATTTCTGGAAATTATTTTCCTGCTCAAATAAATTATCCTCTACTTTGTTCCTATTAAATTCAATTTGATTTATATCTTCCCATTTCTCCAATTTGTCAAGATGTTTTGAATTTAAATACTCTTTCACTATAAGAATGTTGGTCCACCCAAATAGATGTCATCAGTACAAATATACTTTGCATTCATTTAAGTGATTGATAGAAAAGTACAGTTTATGCCAGTTTGAATGGTCTCTCCCCAATGTTAATTTAGAAATATTCCTAACTAATGAGATAAAATTTATATCACAAAGGGAATGTGTGATACAAATTACATGATTGTTTATTTCTTGATTACTCTATATCATTTTCAACTAAGTTAAAATAAATTATTTTTACCTGTTTAATCATTCTAAACAAATAGAATCAACTAAACAATGAAGTTTTGTTTTAAAGTCTTTTTTTTTTTTTTTTTTTAGGTGTAGATGGACACAACACAATGCCTTTATTTTTATGTGGTGCTGAGGATCGAACCCAGGTCCCGCCCCGCTAGGCGAGCGCTCTACCACTGAGCCACAATCCCAGCCCAACAATGAAGTTTTTAAAATGTTTACTGATCATTTCCCTCCATTCCTATCTGTAAGTAATTGAGGAGGGAGGTAACATTGGCAATATTTCCAAGTACTTCTAGCTAAAACATGTAATAAATGAAAAACAATGTAATCAAGTTCTAAGTAGAACTTTGGCATCCAATGCTTGTGCAATCATGCATGACACAAAATGTGTTAATAATCCTTTACTTGTATCAGTAATATCCATTAGGACAGAGAATTCTCCTTAGATTATTTGGTTTATATTTTATATCAAATACTAAATATTCTGGCTTTAAAACAACTACAGGCAGACTGGGACAGTAGCTTACTAATAGATCACTTCCCTAACGTGTATGAGGTTTTGCATTTGACCCCCAACACTGGAAAAATATATAAAAAATAATAAAAACAACTATTAGATTACATCAAATTTATTATATTAAGCTATTAAAATATGACTATTTACTTCATTGTGCTGATTTTCACTTTTTCTTCTACTTTTCAATTCAAAATCATATAAATAATTTTATTTCCTTAAAGTAGGGAAATCTCTTATTAAATATGCCTATTCTTAGATGTTTTTTGATTATCCAAAATTAATTTTCCCCATCATAATAAAAATATTCAGAAATGAAAAATGTAAGTGACATAAATTTTGATCATGTGAGTTTACTTAAGAGATGAATTTGAGTCTTTCTTAGACATTGAAATGAAAATTTCTAAATATTTAAGAAATCACAGTAGGGAGGCCAACATTATTTACAAAGGATCATTTATTAAACACTTTTTTTTTTTTTACAAAATACAAAAGTTGTTCTGCTTGAATACATCACATATGAAAAAATAATATATTTTATGGAATTAAATTTGAAGACATTCAGAATTTTGTTTTTCATCATGTTTAACACCACTTCCAATCAAGAAGAAAACTTTTCCTTATTCATTAAATCATATTAATAACAACTAAAATGGTATAGAAATAAAATCAGACAATGTCTGCCATACAAAGCTCCCTCTGCAAGGTAACTGATTTGCCTATGATCCTAAAATTTTTTCAAGCTATAAGATAGGAAGAGTTGAGGAGCAAGGCAAGTTTTAAAATAATGTATTAGCAGCAGTTGATAGTAGATGCAACATAAGATTTGTTTTGTCTGTGGTACAGGAATATGTCCTATCAGACTCTACCATATTTTTTTCTACTTGAACACAAGTAAGCATATACTGATAGTCTCTGAATGACGAAATGTATAAAACATACAAGAAGCTGGTTCTGGTTTTCAATGTGAGTGGCTATTTTCAGCAGCTAATATGAATGCATTGCTAAAATTAGTGAAGACAGGAAAATGACTTAAGGGTAATATATACAGAGTTAAAATACATGTTTTATCCACTTGGTGATTTCAGGCACTGTGGCTGTTCAGGATAAAATACTTCATGATTTTTCTTGATAGCAATTTAATTATCAGTGCAAGCAAAAGCAAATACCTGCCCACTGTCACAAAAATGACCTTGTACATTTGGAATGTTCAAAGCAAGTTCATCTTCAGATCTTCACTCTGCAGGCATCTTGAATAAAAACGTCTCATAGTTTGCTCTTGATAGCAATTTACTTTTCAGTGCAAGCAAAAGCAAACCCACACCTGCTCACTGTCATACATATGACGACCAAACATATATGCAATATTCAAAGCAAGTCCACCTTTTTCATCTTCACTGTGGAAGCATCCTCAATAAGTGGCCCTTAGTGTAAACTCTCTATAAATCATGAAACAAACTTGCAATGCCTGAACTTAATATTAAACACCACTGCCATAGTCCTCTCTGTGTAAACGATGTTTGGGTAAGGCTTGCCATCACAACATTTCTTTCCTGAGAATGGAGCTGGTCCTCTCTATGTGGATCATAAGTGTGCGTGCTCTGAGCTGTGATCACTATCATGACTGTCTTCATTTGCTAGCGAGTCCCCTGTCTGCTGGAGGGTTGCCGCACCAATTCCTGAAAGCTCTGACGGGAGAAGTGTTCCTTTTTTCACGTTCACCAGTTCCTTTTCTCGAGCTGCAGCTCCTTGTTGTCCTCCTTTTACCCTCTTCCACTTCATTCTCCTGTTCTGGAACCACACTTTCACCTTGAAGCAGGAAAGGAAACAACATAAAGAGAGTTAAAATGACACGTTGATCTCTTTTTTGGGCATTGATGAAAAAACAGTGCTTCAAAGGTCTATACCAGACCTCCATAAAACAGTAGTGATAAAAATGATTCAACATTGAATTTAATCATGTTGTAAGGCCAGAGTAATATTTCTCAAGCTCTCAGAATGTGCCAACAACTGTGCTTCATATTTTTCAATATACATAATAAAGATATAAACAGATGAGAAAGAACTCTATCATGAAAGCTCATCCAACAAGATTGATTCTCTAAAGAATTTCTATATTTGTCTAGTCAAAGTTTACCCACCTTCCCAAGTACTTCTTTGCCTTGTCATCTATGTGTCAATTCCTAAGTCAGTTTAAAACATGCTTGGGGAACTACAAAGAAGCTGTCTGAAAGGCCTTTCTATGCCATTAGAAGTGCTATTTGGATGAAATATTGAACTGAGATATTTCTCAATCTGGACTTTTGTTGGTTTCATTTGGGGCCATAATTGAAAGAATGCATTATGTATTTCCCATACATATATGAATCCATTTGACAACAATGGATAAGAAAATACAGTAAGACAGACTGATTAAAAGCTAACTGATGGAAGGACTTGATGGTATACCTCAGTAGTAACTCACTTGCCTGATATGTGCAAGGTCCTGAGTTCAATCCTTAGTACCGCAAAAACTAAAACAACTGGTTGGTGAGTGTTCACATATGATTACTACCCCTAACCAAAAGTCTCAGTAGTTGCCTTTTATTTATCCCTACTTGGATATAGGTGTCATACCTGTACTGATAGTTGCATTATTTCTACTACTTTTCTGTATAATATAGCATTATTTTTATTTTACAGATGAGGAAGTTGAGACAAAGGTTAAATGAGTTGCCTAAGATTATGCAGATGGAAAATGTCTTAGCAAGATCTAACCCAGGGACTTGTTTTGTTCCAGATTCTGGGGCTTTTTCCCCACTTTGGGTCCTGCTATATTTCAAACTGCTATTTTTAAAATATTTAGTTTTTTTTTTTAAATAAAGCATATAAAGTATGTGAACTCCATCCATATGATTACTATCATTCAGGTAATTCTCATACTTGATATAATTAGGTTTGTAAATATGACACTGAATTTTCCTGTGCTATAATTTAGGTAATTATACTACTCAGTTTAATTACCTTTGCAAGCTTGACATTGCATGTTGCGTTAGATCTGTTCCACATGAGCTGGGTCCTACTTTTGGCTTCACTTCTGAGTTTTTGTGTGAATTTGAGAAAATTATACTTCTCTCTGCCTCAATTTTCATATTTGTAATACTGGAATAATGAGCCCTTCAAGATTCTCAGTAGGGAGATTTTCTCCATCAACAATTCCAGATGGAAGAAACACATAAGTCATTGCCATCATCATCACTGTCACCAAAAGTTGAACAGTCAAAATAATCTTTGCAGAATAAGAGGAATAGATCTCTTAAATTCTGCACTTATTTCCTTTTCTAGGATAAAGAGTATAGTAATTCTGTAATACCAGTATAAAATGTGCAAGTTTAAATGAGAAAGAGTAAGAGTGTCGTATTGATTTTAGAAATACCTTGGTCTACTTTGTGTTTTCTGTCTACCATGTGGAATTGTACCTTTAAAAACAAAAATAGACTGAGAGATTTCATGGTATACCATGATACATATATATATATATATACACAGAGAGAGAGATGTTTATATATACATTTATACACACATAGATATGCACATGTAAATATGTTAATATATATATATATATATATATATTTATACACACATAGATATGCACATGTAAATATGTTTATATATATATATATGGATATATATGTGCAGGTGAAAGCATTTGATGATACATCTTAATTCTAATTCCTTATACTATTTTCTTTAAGGGTGAGATTATATATTGGATATTGGAACTCTATGAAGTTAGTAATGGGACAAAAACAGCAGCAATCACATAATAGACTCATCTTCCAGAAATGGAAGGAATGGTGAAGATCTCTAGAAGTCATGGCACCCAGATTTATTATCCAATATATTATAAAATAATGAGATGAACTAAAATAGGCAAGGAAATTTTCTTTTTTTGAAAAAAAATCCCACATTTCCATATTAGCAATGTAGTATTAGCAATAAAAGTACTCCAAAATATAAATCAATATTGCTTCTAGAATAATAGCACAGTAATTTATAAATAGAATTTATAATAATATCACATTAGATTTGTAGATAAAAATGTTATATTTTAATTTAGTATCACTTCTTGAATCCTGCTTCATTGGCTGAAATTTTTTTAAAAAGGGTAGGTTTTTTTTGTTCTTGATTTTAAAATGGACAAAAGCATAATTTCCAGGTACTTTACATTTCATTTTTTTAAAAATTAAGTATTCTAATGCTTTCTATTAAAATTTACATTTCATACAACAATCTCAATTTATAAAATTGTGTAGAGTGAAAATAATCTCATATCTTTTGGATGAGTTAGTCATTATTTATTCATTCATACATTTAAAAGCATCACTGAATAGCCAATAACTGGCACTAAGTTAAACCAAAGATGAGAGGGGTCAGAGAAGGAGTGCATAAATCAATAAAACATAGTCCTGCACTTAAGGAATTCATACTGTTAAGAAAAGGGAAACTTCATAACAGGTACTTAGCTGGTTGTATAGGAGGCATTAGGTATATACTGAGATGTATGATTGGTAGCTCCAGATTTTACAGAATATTCTTGAACTGCTGCTGTTGTAATTGGTGTCACTGGCACATCTTGCTAGGAGATTCTCTCAGGGCTCCACGATACGGCAGAGAGCTCTACCACTCCTCTCCGTGCCCCACACTGCTGTTGCCACATAATTATAGAAAGGGATTCCTTTTCTCTGGGAATCGCATGCTGTTGAAGTTCTTGGCATCCTGTGAGCCTTCTGAGCTCACAGGATGTTATTAATCTGTTATTAATTTGCTTGAATTTCTCTACCCTAGTACCCAGGGTAGAACACTAGGTGCTTGGAAATTATTATCAAATATTTCATATACAACTAAGTATTTTATATATAATTGAAACTCAAAATTGAAATCTTTGATCATGATACATGAATTTTGTGAACTATGATTGTTTTGTTTGTGCTTCAAGTCAATTGCATCTTCTGTTATACAACTATTCTAGAACTTACAAGACACATAAGGGTATTTTTTTGTTGTTTTTTAATTTATTTTTTTTATTGGTTGTTCAAAACATTATAAAGCTATTGACATATCATATTTCATACAATAGATTCATGAATTACAGTGGATGGGGTAGTGAGACATAAGGGTATTTTTAATAATATTTTTTTTCAAGCATAAATCTAATGTAAGATCCCATATAAATTGTGTTTTGTCATATAGGATGGTTAAATTAAAGCCTCCATCCCAAAATCTGAGTAATAAGAAATGTTATTTTATTTTCATGAAATCACAGCAGTATAAACCAAACCTTATATTCTATTATAGCTCTGTGGGCACATAATTTTTCAACAAAATCTTCATAACAAAAAATAACTAAAATGTATAATAGCTTATTGTCATGATAGCTAATACTTAAAGTGTAAAATTCCAGACTTTAATTTCCAGAACATTTTTTTATTATGTCTCGTTTCTCCTGTAGTCAACAAACTATTTAGTGTTTACAATGCCTGTGTGATCAAACTACTCTTTAATTAAGTACAAAAATATTTAATCCTATCTTGACTCTTTTTTACAGAAAAAGGCAGCCAAAATATTTTTTCTGTTGTTAATTTGCTTGAATGATGAGAGAATTCAGAAAAAAATATTTTTGTCTCTCACAAAAATATTGTGAAGGAGTATTATTGTTGCCATTGGTGAACTATTGATTTAGATCTCTATTTAACTGATTTAGTCATTTATATTACAGCTTTCTCTTTTTTTTTACCTATTTTATTTTATTTTTTTAATCTTTTTTTAAAATTTTTTATTGTTGGTTGTTCAAAACATTACATAGTTCTTGACATATCATATTTCACACTTTGATTCAAGTGGGTTATGAACTCCCATTTTTACCCCATATACAAATTGCAGAATCATATCAGTTACACATCCACTGATTTACATGTTGCCATACTAGTGTCTGTTGTATTCTGCTGCCTTTCCTATCCTCTACTATCCTATATATAAATTTATACCTGTTTTCTTAGGTTTCAAAATATATCACAAAAACAATAATTAAATATAAAACTGTACTATCACACAATTTACTGTTATCCAGAGGAAAATAGGTTTTTAGAAATTTCTACCTATATAATGCTCTAACCCATATTTATGTAATACCATAAATGTCTGCCTTTTGAAAGAACAAATAGACATAACACCAAACATCTGGATGAAAACTGAAAATTTCAGTGACATATCCAGTTATTTCCAAACATCTGGAATTCATAGATTTAATATTCCAACTGTTTCCATTTTTATCTTGAAATATTGTAGACACTGTCTAACAAATATTTATTAACATCTTTAAGATGTGAAAACATGCAAAGAATAATTAAACAAAATTTTCAGATTTAATGATTACATCCTCGGTGATTAAATTTGTTCATGGCAGTTATCTAGTAAACCCACTCTAAATAGGCACAAGAAAGACCCTCCCAGATAATTCAGTGGCAAAGTCAGTAGTGGAACTGAGAAATTAGAATCACAAATGCTTTATGTTACGTACAAGAAATTAAGGAAAGAAAGCCTCTGCCCTGTCTATTTGAATAAATTTATATCTGATTAGAAGAAATCCTTCAGCTACTTCTAAGAAGCATGTTGTAGCTCCTAGTGGACTCTGCTGTTTCTACAGCAGTATACTTGGTTGGAATATATTGTGCTTTTTAGTATGTTTTGGCGGTGGGGTGGAGAGGGGAGTTAGGACAAGTTTCATGCTGCCCAGTGAATTCTCCATTGTGGTGATGCGTCTCACCATT